TATCCGGAGAAGCTTCGCTTCTCCTTCATCATGACATATCGAAACAAATTATCGAAAGTTCATATTCTGCTACTCAGGCGATTCATTCTTATACTTATTGTTATAAAGTTATAGGACAATGTGTAACTCACTTAGAAAGTGCTTGTTATTCTATTTTCTTCATGAGTCGTTGTTTTTGTTAATTACGGAAATGTGTATGCTGAACTGCTGGTAGAACACAATCATTCATTCAACTTGTCGAGCACTAACTTATAGATAAAGAAAAGAAGTCAATTTAAAAAGTGATCTGTAATTAGTCCAATTTTTTAAATTCTTTTAGTGTTTTTTATGTTTTTGATATACATTTTATAAAATCTTTGATTTCTGTTCTTATTAATTTAATTCAAATGCGTTTACATATTTTTGAAGTGTAGATTATGTATCATAGATAACATATCTTATGTACAATTATTTTTTGCTATGTAGAGCAAAGTGCAGTACAATAAAAATCAATGCTTAATGTTTGAAGATAAATAATTATCTTAGGCAAAAGATCCACAGTTTTTGTAAATATTCAATATGCGTTATCGCAAGCTTATGTAAACAACGAACAATTATTGACGTTAACGTTTCTTTATTATCAGTTTTATGTCTTTTTTGTTTTTAAATTTATAAATTAGATTTTTGTCTTGCGATTTGTCATCGAACCATTTTTTTATGTTTTTAAATATATATATATGTTTCTTTGTGTTTTTTAATATGTTTACACAATTATTTCCATAATTCCTGTAATTTTTATTATCTTAAATAACCTGTTTCTAAAAGTCTCAAAAAATCTTATCAATAATTTATGCATCTATGTCAACATTTAAAGAACGCTTAAGTGCTCTAATAATAAATACATTTGCTTATCGTGTTTTGAATGTCTAAGAGATAAGATGCGTGCACACAAATATATTCATTATTGATCGTTGACAAAATTTAATATACAAGCACACAGATGTGCGCATTATTATTTTTATTTTAACGTGTTTTGTCAGTGAATATAATTTGTCACCGCGATACTAGCCAGTATAAATACGTACGACAACCAAAAAACATCATCGAGAGACGTACGATTAGCGTCGAGATAAAAGTGGGAACAATCAAAATCGATAGAATCAATTCTGATCATTTATGTTTTTTCTGGTCTGATTTCTGGTGTGATGTGAGATAAGAAAGATATGTCCTTATTCATTATTGCATTCCTGTGTGGCAGCTGGTTAAAAATATATTGATTTTTGGAAAAACTTACAAAGATAGAAAATAGATATTTATAACAACTTTATTATCATTAATAACAAGAAATTATATAAAGCCTTACGAACCATTCGCAGGATGTTTGAGCGGAAACTTGTGCGTGTATATATATATATATATATACACATGTAACAAATTCAACTTGTAAATTTTTACAAGTGAGTGTTTTTTGAATTGAAATCTCAATTCTTAAATTCATACGGGATGCTGGATTTGCATCTCACATATGAGAGACCCCGGATACCCCCTAACTAATTTTAAAATATTGCGAAAAAAACTCCTCGGCCAGGAGTCGAACCTGGAATCTCCGGGAAAGGAAACAGGGAAGGCGATGGCATGGAAAGCCGGAGATTCCAGGTTCGACTTCTGGCCGAGGAGTTTTTTACGCAATATTTTAAAATTAGTTATGGGGGTATCCGGAGTCTCTCATATGTGAGATGCAAATCCAGCATCCCGTATGAATTTAAGAATTGAGATTTCAATTCAAAAAACACTCACTTGTAAAAATTTACAAGTTGAATTCGTTACATGTGTATATATAATATACACATATATATATATATATATACACACACACTGTTTCCGCTCAAACATCTTGCGAATGGCTCGTAAGGCCTTATATATTTCTTGTTATTAATTTCAACGAGTCTTAAGTCATAATTGTTTATTATCATTCTTTTCGCTTCTTCTTTAATGAGAAAAGATCTAAAGATAGATTTTGTAATTCCACTTGAGTCAATCAACGTGATATAGTCAATCATCTTGGTTGAGAATATTGCCGCGAATACACTGATGACTCATCAGTGATAAGCCGAAGAATATTTACCACTATCTTTTTGCGCTGCTTATATTGCAGTAAGAATCAGTTGAAATTGGCCTATAGGACCATTAAAAAGAGTGCGATAACAAAAGACTAGTTGCTGTCTAATTGAACTTAATTGAACTTAACTTTACATATGCGAGCTTATATAGAATCTATAAATATAGTCAGTTATAAAGCTACTGTATCGGTAAATATCAATAAATTGTTGTTATATATACAGCATATCCAGGAAGATGAAGGAAATTACAAGAGAAAAACAACCTGTTTTCGACGGTATAACTTCGCACATTGAATAAATTTTAAATATTTTATAATTTATTTATCATCGTAATTGTAATGTTGCAACAACGGCGCACTTACAAAATCATATATTATGTACAATTAAAAAATCAACGCTAATCAATACGTTTCACATACACACACACACACGCGCGCGCGCGCGCGCACGCACACACACACACACACAACTCGTTTAATATAATTCACGCGTATCTTATTGAAAATGTGAAGTTTTAGAGCTTGAAATTTATATAATGGATGTTTTGTTGATTAATTATGACCAAAATTCCTAATAATTAATATGCTTTTACAAGCAGGTATTTAATTTTGAGTGTTTGTGTTGTATGCCTATATATTAATAAAAGAGAAATCCGCTCGTGAAATTGTCAAGTAATAAATTGAAAAGGCCAATACGAGCATTAACATACAAGATGGTCGTGTATATAATAAGTGTTTTATTAGAGATCTTTTTGAAAAAATTTGTTCGAACATTTTTCTAATATCTCAATGAAAAGAGAATATGCAAGAAATTAGTTTTAGTCAATAACTTTTTTTATGTTTATTGTGTGTGTAAAATGCGTGTAGAATATATAAGTCAATAAGTTTTTATCTCCTTTTCATAAAAAAGATTTGAATTTGATGATCTTACATTTTATAAGGAACGTAGAGTTTACAATATCTCTATTTTTCTACATCTTGTTACAATTTACCTTTGTCTCTCGCTTTATCGTTGCCATCTCCGTACATTGACAAAAATTTTTATGATTGCCGTAACCATTGATCGAGCACACATCATACCAGCGATATGATGTGTACAGTTTGTCCGGAAAGTTCCCGGACTGATTTTTTCTAGCGCGGGTAAGCGGCGCTATCGAGCGGTCAACGCTGGAACTACTTAGTATAGACCTT